TGATCAGGACTCCTACATATGGTTGTGAAGATTTGACATTGAACAAATTGACATAGACTATGATTTGAATAACACACACTAGAATTACTCAGTTATAATCAAATACAGTAGCCTCGATTGTAAGTTATTATACTTAGTTCCTTTCGCTGAATAGTTCTAGGTTTGCCTTTCTTCCTCCTTCCCTCCCTCCCTTCCCCCACCTTGTTCTCTCCTTTCTTCCTTCTTTCTTTCCTTTCTTCTCTCCTTTCCTTCCCTTTTCTTTCCCCTTCCTTCCCTCCTTCCTTCCTTCCTTCCTTCCCTCCCTCCCTCCTTCATTCCTTCCCTCCCTCCCTCCTTCCTTCCTTTCATCCTACCACCCTTCCTTCCTTCTTCTTTTTTTCTTTCTTTCCTTATTTCAAACACTACTGAAATGAATAGTGTTATAAATGTCATTTGACGTCTGGTGAAATTATCTGTAGGATACCATTCTCTTAATTTTTAAAGTATTTATAAGCTCTACCAATTTAACAATTAGACATAGTCTTAATTTATTATGAAGTTGTTTTGAATTTTTAAAAATTGTTGTACTTTATTTTTTTAAACATTTTTATTGTTGTTCAAGTACAGTTTTCTGCCTTCCCCCAAGCCCTCCGAACCCCCCACAGCCCTCCCTACCTCCCTCCCATTTCCATCCCCCCTTGTTATTGTCCATGTGTCCTTTATAATTGTTCCTGCAAACCCTTCACCCTTTTTCCATATAATCTCCTCCCCCTGCTCCCCTCTGGTCACTGTCAGCCTGTTCTCAATTTCAGTGTCTTTGGGTTATATTTTGCTTGCTTGTTCATTTTGTTGATTAGGTTCCTGTTAAAGGTGAGATCATATGATAAATTTGTTGTACTTTAAAGAGTGGCACCATATATTAAGTTATGTTGTACTCACCCCGACCTAGAATATTGCTGTATGTAATACAGTAAGCCTTTTGAATGGGCTGGAGTGATAGATACCTTCTAGATCTGTTTTCATTTTTATTCTTTTGAACTCCTTTTAAATGTCTGATAATGGGAAAAAATATTGTCACAACTAAGATCAGAGCTAGATGTATTTAGAAGCAGAAGCGATATTTATCCCAAGTGCTGAATAAAATGAAGTACAATTTCAGATGCAGTTTAAAAAAAGTTAACTCTCTCACCTTTCTTCTGCCTTAAATAATGTTTCATATTCATTCATTGAAAACATTGGATGATATAGAGAATGTATTCATTGAGATTCAGTTGAGCTGTAGGTAAGTAACAAAATTTTCATGGTAAATTTTGTGCATCATAAAAATACAGTTACATCAAAGTAAAATATTCAAAGGTACTACCTACAAAGTGAAAAAAACTGGGATTATCATACTCTAAGTGAATAAGTCAATTACTTTACATTGACTTATTTATGTTAGGGACCATTTAGTGTCCTGGCTGCTACTTCAGAAACTTCATAATGAAATGCAGTTTCCCACTACCTTTTCTTCCTTTTACTTATTCTCTAGATCACAAAACTGGACAGTTTTTAGTTGGAGAAAAATTACAATTTGTTCTCTATTTGTAAAACCCATGTTTTTACCATGTTTTCAGATGATATCACTGAGGTTAGAGAGATAAACTTCTTTTCATTTTTCAGTGTAGCTTAGAGAATCTTAGCTGAATTAACAAGAAATTGACTTCTGGTATGGATGAGCCATAGCTAAACACAGAAGGTGTGTTTCTTCATTTCTTTTAATTGGCCCTGAAAGATTCACTGCCTGAAATTCTGGGAGGCTGGAGAACAAAATAAATTCTATCATAGTTTTCAGAATTTATAGCAAACAAGCAGAATACTTGGGGAAGTTCCTGATAACTGACCTTTAGATGATCATGTTAAGCTGTAGTGATTAAAAAAAAACTTAGTGAAATATAACTTAGATGCTGAAGAATTTGTCCATTTACATTGTATAGTTTAATGCCTTTTAGCCAGTTCACAGAGTTATGCAACCATCATCAGATTCAATTTTAGAACATTTTCGTCACCCCCAAATGAAATCCAGTACTAATTTAGCAGTTATTCCTCATTTCTTTCCAAATTTGTGAGTCTTAAGCAACCTATAATTTACTTTCTGTCCCTATAAACTTTGGACATTTCATGTCACAGAGTATGTCAGCCTTTTGATTCTGACTTCTTTCACTTAGCATAATGTTTACAAGAGTTATCTATGTTATAGCTTCTATCAATACTTCATTTCTAAAGAACTCACCTCCACTCCAGGAAGACAAACAACCCAATTAAAAAATGGCCAAAAGACCTGAACAGACACTTCTCCAAGAAGGACATACAGAGGGCCCAGAGACATATGAAAGGATGCTCAGCATCACTAACTGTCAGAGAAATGCAAATTAAAACCACAGTGAGATACCATTTCTCACCAGTGAGAATGGCCATCATTAACAAATCAACAAGCAAGTGCTGTAGAGGTTGTGGAGAAAAGGGAACCCTAGTACACTGTTGGTGAGAATGCAGACTGGTGTAGCCACTGTGGCAAACAGTGTGGAATTTCATCAGAAAACTAAAAATGGGGCTGCCTTTTGACCAGGCAATTTCACTGCTGGGATTAGACCCTAAGAATTCTGAAACACCAATTCAAAAGAACCTATGCACCCAAATGTTCTTAGCAGTACAATTTACAATAGCCAAGTACTGGAAACAGCCTATGTGCCTATTAGTAAATGAATGGATCAAAAGACTGTAGTACATTTACACAATGGGATTTTATGCAACAGAAAGAAAGAAGGAGCTCCTACCCTTCATGACAGCATGGATGGAACTGGAGAGTATTATGCTAAGTGAAATAAGCCAGGTGGTAAAAGACAAATACCATATAATCTCAACTATAAGTGGAACCTACCAGTAATCAACAAAACAAACAAGCTAGCAAGATACAACCAGAGACGTTGAAATAAAGAGTAAACTGACAGTAACCAGAGAGGAAGGGAGAGTGGGGTATTAGGGGATAATAAGGGAAGGGCTATCAAGGAACAGGTATAAAGGACACATGGACAAAGCCAAAGAGGATAGGTTCAAGAGTGAGAGGCAAGAATGGGTGGGGTGGGGCAGGGCATGGTAGGATGAAAATGGAGACAACAGTACTTAAACAACAATAAAAAAAACTGCATTTCTTTTCATGGCCAAGTAATATTTCATTTGTATGGATATTATTATATTTTATTTATCTATTCATCAGTTGATAGACATTTAGATTATTTCTACTTTGTGGCTATTATGAATAATTCTACTTAAACATTATGTATAAGTTTTGTGTGGACATGTTTTTATTTCTTCTGAGTATATACTGAACAGTGGAATTTCTGGGTTTTATAATAATTCTAGGTTTAACTTTTGAGGAATGCCCATTTTACATTTCTATCATCCGTACATGAGGGTTCTAATTTCTTTAGTGTCTGATACTTAATATTGTCTTTTTTATTATAGACATCCTAGTGGTGTAAAGTGCTATCTCACAGTGATTTTGATTTGTATTCTTCTAATGGCTAATGATATCAAACATCTTTTCATGTGTGTGTTGGATATTTGTGAAATCTTTTTGGAGAAATCTCTATTCATATCTTTTGCCTATTTTATTTGGTATGTCTTTTTGTTATCGAGATGTAAGAATTCTTTACATATTCCAGATAGATGTCCCTTGTTAGATGTGATTTGCAAATATTTTCTACCTTTCTGTGGGTTTTCTTTATACTTTTTTGATGGTGGTGGCTTTTGAAGTACAGAAATTTTTAATTTTGATGAAGTCCAATTAATGTATTTTTGTTTTCTTACTTATGCTTTTGGTGTTGTATCTAAGAAGCCATTACCTGAGCCAAGTCCATGAAGATTTACTTTGTTATTTTTCTAAAATTTTGCAGGTTTATCTTTGATATTTAGATCTATAATGTTAATTTTTTGTATAAGTTCCAAGGAAGGTGTTGTGCCTCATTCTCTTGCATGTGGAAATCCAGTTGTCCCAGCAGCATCATAAGTTGAAAATACTTTTTCCCCTTTGAATAGACTTTGCACCTTTATAGAAATAATTTAACCATAAACATAGGATTTATATCTGGGCCCTCTATTCTATGTCATTATGTGTGTGCCTGTCCATATTTCAGTACCACATTGTCTTGAATGCTATAGCTTTTCAGTAAATTTTGAAATCAGGAAGTGTGATTCACAGAGTGTGCAACCATCAACTTTGTTCTTCTTTTTCGAGATTTTTTTTTTGTTGTTATTCTGGTTCCCTTGAATTTCTAGGTAAATTTTTGGATTAGTTTATCTATTTCTGCAAAAAAAAAAAAAACTAGCTTAGTTGTTAATATGTATTGAGTTAAATCTGTAGATCAAATTGGAGAGTATTGCTTTCTTAACCATGTTAAATTTTTAAATCCATGAATATGAATCTTTCCATTAATTTAGGTCTCCTTTAATTTATTTCAACAATGCTTTGTCATTTTAAGCATACAAGTTTTGCATTTATTTTGTAAAATTTATTCCTAAATATTTTTGATGTGGTTGTAAATAAAATTCTTTTCTTTAAATTTTGTTTTTAGATTGATCATTGCTAGTATATAGAAATATTATACAATTGATCTTTGTGTATTGATCTCATACCTTGTAATCTTACTGATTTATTTATTCTAATAGAAGTTCTAATACTTTTTATTGTATTCCCTAGGATTTTCTGTCTACAATGTCATGTTACCTGCAAATACAGTTTTTTTCTTCTTTCCAATTTTAATGGAAATTATTTCATTTATTTCATTATACTGGCTGGGATCTCCAGTACAGTATTGAATAAAAGTAGAGAGTAGTGGCATCCTCATCTTTTTCCTGATCTTTGGTATGAAGCATTCTGTTGTAATGATTTTATTTTTTTTATCTTAAAATGAGCCATAACTTTGTTATGAGGATTAATTTGCTTTTGATTTCAGAACTTTTTCTTCTGTTTACACATGCAGATATGTGCTGATTAGAAGGCTTACTTGTGCAGTGTGGAGAATAAGACAGTGCCTTACAAAAATGGGGTTTGGGAGTGACCTGAAGAATTCACATGAAGCTGTGTTAAAATTGCAAGACTGGGAATTACGGTTACTGGAAACAGTGAAGAAATTTATGGCCCTGAGGATAAAAAGTGATAAAGAATATGCATCTACTTTACAGAACCTTTGTAATCAAGTTGATAAGGAAAGTACTATCCAAGTGAATTATGTCAGCAATGTATCCAAGGTAAGAGGACTAATTTCATCATTTTTACATACAACATCATAATTGTGTTAAGGCAAATAGTTCATATGAGATATGTTATAAACCCCAGAACACATTATGGCTATTATTAGTGTTGCTCTAAGTAGTTGATTATCTTTTGAATATTTTAAATAATAAGAACGTACATCTTTATATTTACCCATTGTGTTACAATTTACAGTACTCATTTCTTTGTGTGTATCTAAGTTTCCATCTGGTATTATTTTTCTTCTGTTTGAAGGACTTTAACATTTTTTATAGTAGAAGTCTATTGATAATTCACTTTTTCAGGTTTTGTAAATGTGAGAATGTCTATGTTGTCTTTGTTTTTGAAAAATATTTTTACTTTTTAAGGAATTCTAGTTTATATCTTTTTCTTTTCAGTACTTCCAAGATGTTCCTATATTATTTTCTTGCATTGTTTCTGATGAAATATTTCTGCCTAATGTTCCCCCTGACCCACCAGCTGTGCTTAAAATTTTCTTTATCATTAATGTTAAGCAATTTGTTATGCACCTTTGTGTAGTTTTCATCATGTTTCCTCTGCTAGGGGTTCCTTAACCTTCCTATATCTGTGGGTTTACAGTTTTCATCAACTTTGGAAAGATATCAGCCATTATTAATTTTTTTTTTTTTTTAGTCCTCCCTTTTTCTCTTCTACCCTTTAGCGAACCTGATTACATACATATATGGCCATTTGAAGTTATCCCACAGTTTACTGATAATCTACTTATTTTTCTGTCTTTTAGTGTTTTATTGTAGTTAGTTTCTCTTGTTATGCCTTCCATTTCTCTAATCTTATTTTCATGCAATGTCAAATCTGTAGTTAATGACATGTCATGTATTTTTCATCTCAGACATCTTTCATTTCTGGTGCCCTTTAATAACCCTGTCAATGAGATGAACTCTGTCACCCTGACTGCTCCTCCGCCAGCAATGTCACTTTCTCCCTCCTTCCTCTTCCTCTGGCAACCTCCCTTTGTGTATCATCAATATTTAAATGTAAATATGCCTGTGAGTGCCACTAAAAATAAATCTACTTATACCTGCCAAAACCCAGGTCTTTCTTTTATCCCACACCTGTACTTTAGGGTAAAGGGATTGGAGAGAAGGAAACAGAAACAGAGTAGTTGAGCCACTTCCATGTTGAAAATGAGAAAGTCTTAAATAAATGAATTATCTGTAATAGTTCAGTTTGAATCTTTTTATAACTTTCATGTCTCTGCTTAATATGTTTATTCTTTAGATTCTTGAACATGTGGAATATAGTCATAGAAACTTCTTCCTTGTTCCTGTCTTCTATCATCTGTGTTATTTTTTGGTCAGTTTGATTGACTGATTTTTCTCCTCATTTTGGATTGTAGTTTTCTCTATGGTAATCTTTGATTTGATGCCAGTTATTGTGAATTTTACCTTTTTAGGTACTGAATCGTTTTATATTCTTAAAAAATGTTCTTGAGCTCTGTTTTAGGATATGGTTAAGTTACTTGGAGACAGCTGGATCTGTTTGGCTCTTGCCTTTACATTTGTTAGGTAGCACTAGAGTTATGTGTAATCTAGGGTGAATTTATCTCCTCTAATGAGTTCAGATCATTCTCAGTGCTAATAGGATCTTCTCCAAATTATGAAATTTTACACTCTGGCTGTTGGATCCTGGCATGATTCTGTGGCTCTGTGTGAGCTCCAGAGAGTGTTCCCTGTAATCACCATGGGCAAGTTATTTCCTTGGCATAGTTTCCTCACACCCTTGAGTTGATCAGTACTTAGCTAAATAATCAAGGGGGAGACTTTTGCAGTTCTCCTGAGGGTTTTTTTTGTTTGTGCAGCTCTCTCCTCTCTAGTACTCTGTCCTTATCTCTTCTCCAGTACTCTGACTGCTCTGGTTTCTCAGTACTCTGAATGTAGTCTGTTTAACACATAAGTTAGTAAGTTCTTCTTGGCTCTTTCTCCCTGGGCTGTAAGCCTGAAAACTTTCTCTATTCAGCATCCTGGGGTAATCTTAGAGCTCAGTTAGTTCATTTATAGTCTCTCAGGGTTCACTGTTCTTCATTGCCTGGTGTCCAGTGGCTTGAATACTGTGTGTTAAATATACTTTGTTCAGTTTTTAGTTGTTTTAGGCAGGAGGATAAAGCTGTTCCTGTTTATCTTGACCAGAGACAGAAGTCTTGCAACTAGTGATTTTTATGTCTTTATTTAACAAAATTAAAATGCACAGTAGTTTTAAGAATATAACAAAGATTGCCTTGTGCCTTCTATTCATTTGTTAGCATTTTGACATATTTGCTGTGTGGCTCCCTTTTACAATATAATTATGTGTGTGTATATGTGTGTGTGTATAGATTTGAATGCTTTGCAAGTTGGTTGAAGCATTATGTCCCTTTATTCTAAAATGTTGAAGTGTGTATTTTCTAAGAAAATACCCATAATACAATATGAGCTTTTGTCAATTGTCCCAATAATGTCCCCTTTTGGCATTTTTAAAAATCCTGATTCAAGATCTAATCTAGAATCATTCATTTCATTTAGTTATATCTCTTCAGTTCCTTTAATTTGGAAGATGAGTGTGAGAAATCACACTCTGTGCTTTGGTAATTTTTCTTTTTCACTTAAAGTCATTCTGAACTATGTTCATCACTCTTTAATCCTGAGGGTATGGTTTTTTATGTGGTTTTATTTCCCCTTTCTGTTGTTTGTGTTGCTTTTGGAAGAAATATTGGGAGACAGAGGCCTAGGTAGCCATGTTGCTTTCAGTTACCTGGACTGTTTCCCATTTATTTGAATATTTCTTTACTTCTTTATTCCTTACAAAATAAGATATTCCAGGCTCATCTTGAATATTCTCTTTTCCAGTCCTGGAATAAACCTTTTTCTCTAGGAATCCTAGTTTCTTTTGGTAGGGAGAATATTTAGATACTTAAACAATTTACTATGTGTGGGATTTTATATCTTACAATATTGTGCAAATACATGTAATGCTACAATGAATAACTGTCACAGATGTATTTTTGTATTATTAGTATCTTCAGGGTATATTTTTGGAAATGGGGTTTCTAGGTCAAAGTATAAAAGTGTATACGCAGTTTTCTTAAACATTGCCAATATAAATATAAATTTTAAAAATAGATCTCATACCATTTTGTGTACCCACTAGAAATATATGAGAGTACCAGTTTCTGCTTAATCTTGGCCTAAGAGTGTCTTGTCAAACTTGTGAATTTTTGTTAAACCGTTAGGTAAAATGGTATCTAGAGTAGATTTACTTTATATTTTTCTAATTATGAGTGAAATTAAATATGTTTTAATATGTTTAATGGCCATTTTATTTAGAGAACTAGTTTTATTCTGTGCTAAATGTGAATTTTACTTTGTGTTTTCTTATTCATCTAAAATTACAGCTGTCAGAAATTAAAGAAATCCAAATTGGAAAGGAAGAAGTAAAATTGTCTGTTTGCAAATGATATGCTTATATAGAAAACCCTAAAGACTTTATCAAAAAACCTTTAGAATAAATGAATTCAATAAAGTAGCAGGATGCAAAATTAACATATAAAAGTCAGTGTGTTTCTATACGCTAACAACAAACCATCTGAAAAAAAAATCAAGACAACAATTCTATTTATAATAGCACCAAAAAAAAATAAAGTACTTAGGAATAAATTTAACCATGGAGGGAAATATCTGTATACTGAAGATAACAAGACATTGATGAAAGAAATTGAAGAAGACAAAAGTAAGTGTAAAAACATTCCATGTTTGTGGATCAAAAGAATTAATATTTAAAAAATGCCCATACTACCTAAAGCCATCTATAGATTCATTTCAATCTCTATCCAAATTCCAATTGCATTATTCACAGAAATAGAAAAAAATTCTGTTATTCATGGGGAACAAAAAAGACCTAGAATAGCTAGTAATCCTGAGGAGGAAAAACAAAGCCAGAGGCATCACAGTTCCTGATTTTAAATTGTATTATAAAGCAATAATAATTGAAGCAGTATGATACTGGCATAAAAACATAAATCAATGGAATGGAATTGAGAGCCCAGAAATGTATCCATGCATATATGGTCAACTGAAATTTGACAAGGCATCCAAGAATAGTTTCTTGAATAAATGGTGTTGGGAAAATGATATTCACATGTTAAATAATGAAATCAGACCCTATCTTAAACCACTCACAAAAATCAACTTGAAATGGATTAAAAATTTAAATCTTATCCCTGAAACTGTAAAACTAATAGAAGGAAAGTTAGGCAAAAAACTCCTTTACATTAGTCTTAGCAATGATTTTTGGTATATGACACAAAAAACACAAGCAACGAGAGCAAAAATAAGCACAAAGGCAAAAATGAAAACTTGTGCACAGCCAAAGAAACAGCAAAGTGAAAAGGCAACTTATGGAGTGGGAGAAAATATTTTCAGACCATCTGTTTGATAAGTGGTTAATATCCATACAATTCAATATCAAAAGACCAAATAATCCATTTAAAAATTGGGCAGAGGATCTGAATAGACCTTTTTCCAAAGAAGATGTATAAATGGCCAACAGATGCATGAAAAGATGCTGAAAATCACTCATCATCAAGAAAATGCAAGTCAAAACCACAGTGAGTTACCACTTCATAATGTTAGAATGGCTATTATGAAAAAGACAAGAGACAGTAAGTGTTGTCAAGGCTGTGAGAAAAGGGAACCCTTGTATACTGTTGGTGGGAATGTAAATTGCTACAGCTGCTTTGGGAAACAGTATGGAGGTTCCTAAAAATATTAAAAATAGAGCTACTTATGTGATCCAGCAGTTCCACTTCTGTGTATATATATCTGAAGGAAATAAAGTCATATCTTAAAGAAATATCTCTATTTCCATGTTCATTGCAGCATTATTTATAACAGCCAAAAAATTGGAAACAAGCTAAGTGTCCATAAATGGATGGATGGATAAAGAAAATATTTCACTTACACACATAGATAAAAGGTCTGTC